AAGGTGTGTACATGTTGAGAAACCGGCCCCCCCCCCCATGTCTTGCTGATGTGTGGGGCTTTGGTTAGCTATCTCCCAGGATGTGTATTTTGTGGGAACACCGATTGTGTGTTTCAGGCTGGTGTAACTCAGATAGCCTGGGGTGGCACTTTGGACAGTCTTATGATTCAGTGTCTGTCCCTCATTTAGTTTTTTATTGCTTTGATTTTGTTTGAACAGGATTATATTGTGTATTGCTTTCTCTGGTAGAGAAATAGACATGCTAGAAACCGGAGTTTTGTTTTCCACCAGATCATGGTCTTTCCATGGCTCTGACTTCCCCAGCTATGTCCTGGGTGGGAGTGGCTGTAAATTATTATATATTATTCTACTAGCTGTGGCCAGAAAATTAATATTAATCTGAATGTTTAGACTGTGACTCAGCAAAATGCTTGAGAAGATGCTTAACTTTAAACATGCGAGTGCTTAAAATAGACGCATTGAATTATAAGCATATAAGTGTTTTGCACGTTGGGAGAATGCAGGATGGTTTTGGAATGAACTGTCTCAGAAATGGGAGAACCAGTCTTGTGACTGATAAGAATGAGACTGTGCAAACTTGAAGGGCTAATAGAAACTCTGCATGCTGGTCAGATGGTTGAGTTTTAAAACAAAGCATGTTTTCCTTCTGTGGACTGTAAGCCCTGTAAACACAAGGACATTCAATTGCCAATGTTGTAGGGGCAGAGAAAGCTGTAAGCAGCATCATTTGGTTCTATGCATAACAAAGCGGCACTAGTGAACAAATTTCTCATCTTAAATCATGTTTACTGGTTTTATAGTGTGTAGATTTATTCTAAAGTGCAGTTTACTTATCTGTCAAACCATGGTGAGTTCAGAGGACTGGCTGTATCTGGTTTTACCCATATTTAAGGTTTTTTGTTTTTTTTGTTTTTAAATCTTTGTTTGAGACCCTCTGGGCATATCTACAAGAGAAGTCTACTGTGCAGTTAACTTATAAACTGCACAGTAAATGTCTCAGCATCTGCACATACACCCCTGTTAGGGTGCAGGAAACTAATGAACTTGCAAATTCAAGTTCTAACCTGCTGCAGAGTTTTTTCATGTACAGTAGCACATGTGTGGGCACTGACTCATCTGGCTGGGACATGGGGGTGCTTCAGTGTGGGGGCTGCTTGCTGGCTAGCTCTGCTCTGAAGCACCTTGTGCCTCAGTCAGCTTCTCCGCAACATTTGAAGCCCCATTGGAGCAGCCCTGGGCTGGCAAGTTGACCCCCCCCAGGTCCTCTGCCAGCCCAGGCTGCTCCGACTGGGCAGCACTTGCTGCACCCAAATAAACTCTGGAGCAATAAGCCCTGGAGTTTATTCATACGCATTAATCGCATGTGTAGACACACCCTCCTGTTTCGATCCCAAAGTGAGTTTTATTTTACATCGTGCTGTAGTTTCTGTCTGGGAGTAAATTTTGCTCTTGGTAAAGAAGTGAAAATATAATTTTCAAACTGTGCTTCAAGTACAGAGCCACTGCCCCAGGCTTTAAACCGTTTTGTTGCGTCTTAAGTTGTCATCTTGCTTCTGCCATCTTCCTAAGCCTGTGTAAGAATGTTATCTCAAACATTATCTGCAATACTCTAGCTAGCGTACACATCTCCATATATGCAACACAACTATGCAGTGACCTGATAAAGAATGTCTTGAATTTAAAAGCTTGTCTAACTGCACAGTTGGTCCAGTAAAAGATATTACCCAAGAAATCCTTGCCTCTTGCTCATCTCTTGCAGGCATTTCAACACAAAACAAAAAAGTAGAGTGCAGTAAAAAACTGAGGTAGGATTTTTCCATAGTATCCCACATTAGTTTGATTCAGCTTTCATTGGGGCCCAGAGAATGAGAGGAGTTAGGTCAATGCTGAGTGATTCTTTGAAAATCTCACCTTTCATATTTATGCTCTTAAACCTGGGGTAAGAAAACCATTATAAATGGCACTAAAATGATATTTTGCAGTTTCAAAGTGCATTATGAAATTTTCTGTTTCCCAGAGAGTACAGGCCAAGAGTGAGTGTTCACATTTTGGAGAATGGCACCAAAGTATCAGCTCTTAACCCAAAAACCTATGTATTTGATCCAGAGAAGTCCATTGGAGACCCTGAAGTGGATCTGATCAGGACTGTAAATATTCCTGCAGTGGTGAGTTCAGTTTTATCTACATGGGGAATATTTCTGCAATATGGCAACTACTTGCTGTTATAATGCACAGTTATTATCTTCAGAGCACTTTGACTTCCAAGTAATTATTTGTCATGACAACTCTTTGAGAGGTGAAAAGCACTGGTGGAACACAGTGCTTTACTCAGAAAGGTCATGGAATCTCCATCCTTGGAGGTTTTTAAGACCCAGCTGGACAAAGCCTTGGCTGGGATGATCCTAGTTGAGGATGGTCCTGCTTTGTGTAGATTGTTAGACTAGATGACCTCCTGAGGTCGCTTCCAACCCTAATCTTCTATGATTCTGATTGTTACAGGTAATGCAGAAGAGTCAGGGAGACATTGCCTATTTTTTTTTTTAAAGATAATTGACATTTAGACAAGGATAAATTAAATAGATCTTGTCAAATACTGTACTGAAGTCCAGACATCTCTGGTGTCACGGGGATTAGTAGATCCAGTAATTCTCCATCTTCTCAAATTTAATAATTGCAGGGTAGGTAGGAAACTGTCAGGTAGAGTCTGCAACAGTTCATAAACAGAATTCCTTGAAAAGCAGTTTTGGGACTGATCTTGTATATAAACCATATTTAATTAATAAATCCAATTTATCAAATAAATTTAACATTTAAAGATGCATCCAATTTCCTATGGCTTAAGGGAGCACTGGTCATGGAAGATAATAAATATATCCTGAATTTAGTTAACAATAATGGTACCTGGGCTGACATAGGGATCCTTCATGCTAGTGCATTTTGAATGCAGTTATTGCACATGATTCCCTTGATGTTTTTTTGAGAGCCATGTTATAAAGCTGTACTGTGGACTGTATATTTAAAGGATCAGTTTATGACACTGTCAGATACTATCTGAAAAAAATTGTGCCCACATTCATCTAAAGAACTGCTTTCTCACACCTCATCCTACCTAGTGTGATTCTGGTGCCAGTATGGGGTGTATGTAATCACTTGTATCACCCTGTTCTTACCCTTTTTTCCCCCCTTTTTTTCACTCTTGCTTTTTTGCATGCCACAACTTTCTGAAGGTGAAATTCAGGTACTTCTCTGGCAATAGGCTTCTGTGCTTAAGGCCAATAATCTCTGTTCAGCAAATCGCATACATTCTTAAGAACGTTCTTAATTCAGTGCTTTGCTGACTAGAGATGGACTTAAATATGCACTTCTATGAAAACTGATCTCTGTAAGAAAATACATAAATAACTTCTGACACCAGTACATTGTCTCTTATCATCCTGTTAGAAATAATAAAATGAAACTGTCCTTCATGCTTGTATATTGTTCTGTTAAATGTCTGTGTGCAATTGTACATTTTATTACAATGACAGTCCATTTATCCTTTGTCTTCTCTTGTGTCAGACTGCAATGGAATGGGCCCAGACAAGTCCCCTGCACCTGCCCCTACAGCTGATACTACTATATTACAGAGAAGAACTGTTTATAACACGCACTGTTCATGAATTACTGTGGGGCTACAAAGATAGGCTTCTGTCAACCATTCATTTCTTCTATCCTGAGGTGGATTCGGAGTTTGGTTTATTTAACAAGGTAACTTATTTTTAACATCTTGCTTTCCGGAGCATTAAATTGAATCATATAGAGGTTTACCATAGATGTAAAGTACAGCTGTATTTTCTGGGTCAGTTAAAATATCTGGATATACTAAGTCAATAGGGGTAGTTTATAAGAGAAAGAGTTGGAGAGAAGGCAAAGGAAATAGATATTTCTTCAGTGGAAGGGTTACAGCTAACTTTCATTACTTTGGTCCACAGTCCAGGAGTTGTACAGCTCTTTTAGTAGTAGGATCAGCAGTAGTCAGGAGTGTCTTTCACCTCCCACTTGACTAAAAGTCTGCAAACTTTTCTAAGTTTGACCTTGCTGCTGCTGCTGCCATTTTTCCCTAGTATGCTAATACACTCTTCTAGAACTGATTAGTAGGAAAACTCAGTGGGGGAAATGTGGCAGTTCATTTACTTAACAGTATTTCATTGAGGGAATGCATTAGGTTTGTGCTGCAGCAATTGTGCTGGCTTCCAGTTTGTTTCTAGTTGCATGTAGGTGAACTTGTTGATTCAGTTTCTTATGTTTATCATGATTTGGGCCCTGGGAATCTTGGGTACTTCTTTTCTCTTCTTGATAGCAACTGAATTGCAATCAGTAATCCCTCCATGTACTGCCTGGTGCATAGGAAGGAAGGATAGGCTCAAAGCAGCTGGCTCTGACCTTTTCTGGGCTGTCTTACCTGCTGGCATTTATCCTTTTTCGAACATTTGCTGAAGAGCTCTAATGATGCCACAAACACTCTTTATTTTCAGAAGAACTGATTTATTGGGTGGGAAATGTTAAGGAAAAAAGGCCAAGTTAAACACAGCTTCCTTCCCTGAGGAAGTGTCTGCTTCAGAACCTACCTTGGGCTATGTTTGTGCTACAAAGTTTTGCCAGGAGATCTTAAGTTCATCTGGCAGAACTGTGTGTTCACACTCAAAGATTTTCTGTGGAGTTTGAACCCTCCTTTCTTCCCAGAGAGACCATTTTTACCACTAAATTAAGGTTTACACCACTCCTGGCTAGCCAACAGAAGGCATGTGGAGGCCCTTCTGCAGCTGGTGCCTTTCCAGGGTGCACAGGCAGACAGAAGTGCAGCTCCCAGCTGTAACTCAGACCCTTTTCTGCGAAACATTGTGTTTATAAGGTTACCCCAGACCAAACAGAAGTTCACTGTTGGTTCCAGGGGGGAGGCAAAACTTGCTGGGGTCCCTGCAGCCAGATTCCCATAGCAATGGCCAGGTTCTTTGCCAGTGCTCGCTGTTTTCAGAATGGGGCAGAGGCGGGGGAAAGGCAGTGGAGGGAGCTCATTTTTGGGACTTCCCAGCCAGTGCTGAAGGGTGGGAGCCCACCCCCTACATCTTGGGGGAGGTGGGTGCTAAAAAAACCTCCAGATTGAACTCCTGCTGCCCCCTTTCCCCCTCCCATTTTGAAAAAAGCAGAAAGGCTGGGAGCTTCCAGACACAAATTACATAAGATGCTACACTTTGAAACGGCTTCATCTGATGCGTCATGCTATAGGGGTCCAAATTTTCACCCGATTGACCACTTTTGAAACTGTCTGCAGCTGTTCACTTGTTTGGTCTCAGCTATAAACTGCTTTCTGTGACCAGATTGGGTGAAAATTGTTACTTCTGTTCGTGTCCTTTGTACTCCCATGGCACAATTGCTGAATGCAGACATGCAGAGCTGTCAGAAGTGTTCAGATGTGTAGGTGGGTTGGCAGTTTGGCAGGGGCAGCTGCTGTCTCCCACTAGAACTTCTGGTAGCAGAGGAGCTAAACATAGACAGGGCCTCAGTTATTCTCACCTTCTTTATAATCCAGGTAGAGTCTAATAAATCTCACCTTCCCCAGGGAGTCAGCAACAGCTAACCCATAGCTCCCAGCAGAGTACTAACACATGGGAACAGAAGGGGCCCATGGCATACATCTTCAGTCCTGTTGCAGGGCATCAGCCATGGAGAGTGGCTGGAAGGGTATAGCGAAGGTAAAATCTGATGTGTTTATTTCTAGATGAATGGGACAGACGACGGGGAATATGTTTTCCTAAGTGGGTCAAGGAACTACCTTAACTTTTCAAGGATTGTGGAGTGGAAAGGAAAAAAGTAAGTTGCTGTATCAAATGCTGTGGAACTTCTAACTTCTTTAGAGACCTTTCAGTCAGCTAACATAACTCCTTCTGTCCCTTCTTATCAATCCACTGAGTGCAGAGCCTCATAATAATACTAACAATAATAGTTCTAATTGTAATTGTTGTTGCAGTATCCATTCTCAGAGAGACATAGTTAGCCATGTTAGTGTGAAGTCAAGTAGAAGCAGGATACATTTGCATTTTAGGAGACTAACAGAAGTAGATGCATATACTTTGTATCAATTCCTTACATTATTGCCCTCAAACCACCAGCTGATGCAAATGGCAGGCTGGGCTGGTGTCAGGATCTCTGGTTCTTGACTGCCACCAGCACATGTACACCCATGCATGGGCAGCCAGGAATGGTGGAACGCATGTTATTTTAAATGCAACTTTTCTCAGAGTATCATGGAAGAACAGTGGAAGAACAACCAGCTATCCAATTCTTTTCTTCTGGGGTTGTTTCTTCACTAGAAAAACTGGTGTATCTGTCACCTGCGTTCAGCTCATCCTTATTCAGCCAACCTGGGTTACAACCCTTAGTGAAGATGAGGCGGTGTTAGTTTGAATCATGTTGAGGTATATGGATTAAAGTCACAACTGCCTCATTTTCCCTAGAAGTGTAACAGGGACTAGTTAACCCTGAACCATGGTAGGCTACCTCTTATGTCTTCACTGCAAGAAAAGTATAAATGTACAACAACGTGACTAGTATGTATTAATGACCTGGCTGTAAAAACCCTTCTGGAGCCCTATCCATCTAGTTTTTCTATAACGTAAGTGGTGAGGTGATCTGCTTGGGGGTCCATAGTCTGATATTTCTCTGCATATTGATTTTTTCAAAAATAGATTGCACTTTTAGTTAGTAACCTTTAACTTGCTCCACTAGATCCAATGCTGGGAAGAGCACATGATAACGTGATACCAAGACTCTGTCCATGCCCCACTTCTCCCTACCCATCTGCTTCCAGAGCATAACTTTGCTTGTTCATTTTATGCCTATGTTTGCACCTGTTCTATGTCAGTGACCCCAAACTGAATTACTCAAGAAACAGTGAAAATAATATGCAGTTAATGAAAATATTTGCCAGCAATTGTTTGCCTTGGGAATAATTCTTAAGGCCAGTTTCTATCTTGCACTTGGGCACCAGTTTGAAGGGGATATAAATGTGTTCCATTTATGCTGCCAGAGCTGTGTAAATAAGACTTGGTATAAATGGGAAGTAGACCCTCCTTGTGCCTCCGAGGCCAAGAACTCATTGTCTCATCATTGTAAATCATTCTTTAACCGTTTCTCTCCTCTTCATTGACTTTAGGTCTCTGGATTGGTGGACCACAAAGACTTGTAATATGATCAATGGGACAGATGGAAATTCTTTCCATCCCCTGATAAGCAAAGATGAAAAACTCTATGTTTTTGCTTCTGACTTCTGCAGGTAAGAAGAAGAAACACACCTTTTGGATTCCAGATCCAAGTGTTTATATTGGATTATATTGAGGTTTTTAGTTGAATGAACTTTCCCACCATTTTCTATTTTAAAGGCTCTGTTCCTTTAAGTACCTATGTTCTTTATTCTCCCTCACCAAAAATTAGAAGTGAATCATCCCTAAAAATTAAACAGAACCAATCTACATCTAGTTACAGATGGCCTGTTTTGCGACAAACATTAAATGAATATCTGAGTGAAATCCCAACAAACCTGCACAACTCCCTCATTAAGCAGGGTGTGAGGGGGTTTGCTACAGAAACAGGTTTAAACAGATCCCAGCTGAAACTTTTTTTCTTTCTGAAATACTCCTGAATATTTTGCTTTGCTAACGGCATCCTAGAATGCATCATGCAATTGCAGTTAGTTAGAATAAGGGCGCTGCATGTCCACACATGTCCCAAGGCAGCAGGGATGTGGGAAAGCCTGACATTTTCCTTCTGCTGTCCCATCTTTCAGCCTCCTCCCTCTGTGGTTTCTCTAGTATTGCAAAACAACATCACCTGTAGTGTCTTTTGTGTTTAGATGAAGAAAATATTCTACTTCAGATGAATCCAGGCAAACTTGGGGGCTGAAGAATGGCTGCCTGTGCTCAGTTTACCTGCTCTATTTTTTTTCACTGTCATTCTTATAGATGTGGCATTTGTGGCATATATAGTTTCAATATTTCTTAAACAGTTTATGACAGGAGTATCAATATCGGAGCCTTTCCGGGAGTGGCTCCGCCCTCCTGTGATGGGCCAACTGCCTGCTTACTCATCTGCCATGCCTTTATCTTACTTGATTAATAGATTGTTGTAATCAGTGGGAGGCTGCCCATTTTTCGCGCCCTGGTGACAGGGCGCTACCTGCAGCTCCTTTTCCTCCCCTACACCGCAGCCCAAGCCTCGCAGATAGTGTTGACATGGTTTGACCTGGGCCCTGTTATGTCTTGGCCCTTCTCTTTACT